GGGAATGAACATTGATAGCAATATTCCAGGATAGATGAATAGAGTCGTATTGGAAAAAAGTTTTAATATAAATATAGTGAAACCTCTGCATAAAAATAATATAAAAATACTTGCTTAAATAACATTTCAGTTAGTTAATTATTAGAACGTATTTTCTGTACGATACTGTACTTTATTTTAATAGAAATATTTTAGACAGTTTCGTTAACAATCTTTCTAACATAATAAATGTAAAAGCTTGGATGGTTGGCTGTCTGGATTTTTCTTAGTACGTGACCATCGAATGACTGTATTGATCTGAATGGTATTTGGAAAACGCATTCCGGAATAGAATATATGCTATTATTCGTAGTATTTCTGTTTTCTACAAATTTGCGGGAAACATTTAGTAATAAAATACTCGTTACTTATTAATAAACGTTAATGCACACGATTATAACGCGTTTAAAAATTTTGATAAAATTTCACGGCGTTTCAATTTAGTGAACTAAAATCCAATCTGTTATCTCTCGTTTCAACTGAACTCGTTAATTTGTGAATCTGGTTGTACGAAGTTGAACGAGTGTGGTTAAGTTGTTCACTTTTACATTTATCGCGAGAGAATTGTTAAAACAGAAAGTCATTTAGTTTTGCGTGCAACGTGACTCTGACACCACGAGTTCTATTTTTGTTATATTTCGAATTTCGAATGCACGGAAAAAATTTAATTTTACTTTCAATTGTTTTCAATTTCATAGTTATTTCATTTTGATCAACTAATATGTCTATACATATAATAAAACTGGAGTGTCTGTTTGTAATATCAAAAGAAAAATTCCAGATTTCGAAAAGATGATTTATTTGTGTTGCCGATAACGAAAATCGAGAAATAGATGCCGACATAGACGGGTATATTATAAGCTACTTTTTATCTTAATATTGCGTAGACGAAATCGCGGGAAACAGTGTAAATATAAAAGGTAACTTTTTACTCATTCGCCGCCTTCTTTTTAAACACAAAAAAAATCTTGAAATTTAACAACGTAATTTAGACAAACTTTAGGGAACATTTACTAAAGTAACATTCAGGTTTATTATGTGCGGTATATCAGCGATAACATTTAGTAGAGTGGAAATGTTCCTTCATAAAATCTAGCCGTATGTTACTCTGGGTATCGTAAGAAGTAACTTTTTATTGTAGATAAAAATAATTGAGTACCCAACGTAGTTGAAAATGTTTCATTTCACGCTACACTTACATAATTGCTGTAGGCTGTATGAAAGGGTAAAAATAATTGAAACGCTCTATTGATTTTGTTCACAAAAGATAAGGTCCTTGGAATTAAAAAAAAATGATTTACAACATTTATATTACGACTTTTTCTTCGTCTAAAGCTAAAGAAAAAGTGGACTGTATTAAATTGAAACAATTTTTTCGATATAATTTAAAATAATGTAACTGTTGAAATAATGCTGGCAGTCAACATAACATTCAGTATTTTTTTAAAGAATATGTTATATTTAAAAAAAAATTGCGCCACATCGAATTTAATATTTTATTTGTTCTAAAGTCATTTCTCACTTTACTTTTATCCGTACTATAAATAGGCGTATTTTTTTATTTAAACGACCGATATTTTTTTTATAAAAAAACTCGTGATTAATGTAGATACCGGATTCACAAGCAAAAAACATTGCGAACAAACAATACGGTTTGCTGTTACTGGTTGGTGTATATTTTGTATTGTTAGCCGCGTATTTCCTATGGACATTTTGTCTGCTCTGTTTACGAATATTAAAAAGGTATTTTGTTTTGGACAAAATATGAGCTTGGTATCCGATTTTTATGTTTTCATTTTTTAATTCATCTAGTTACGTTTTATCTTCAACAAAAAAGATCCTACGTAGCTGTTAATAAACTAGATGTTCTTGTGCGGTTTTATCCACGTAAAACTCTACTTTATTTTTTTTTGTTTACATTTGTCAAATTATCGATTGCAAATGTCATAATCACCGTTACCGTAATAATCTCGCTTCTTTAATGTAAGCAGCTTGCAGTCCCCTTTCCCAAATGAATTTTTTCAATTTATTAATAGCTTGAAAATAAATAGCCTAAAGCGTGTTGTAAATGTAGGGCTTTTCATTAAAGAAATAATTATTCAAAAATTTGCTGTGATTGCTGACATCCTACGCCAAGTAGTGGTGTGTGTTTACGCTTTATTATATTAGTATAGATGTGAAAAAGCTTACAACAGAGAGTATTTTTTTATTCTTTTAGTTTTTTATCGTTGTGCTTTGTATTTCGGTAGATGGACTTCATTAACAGATTGAAGCATGATGCCTTTGGGAAACCATGTATAGCACAATTCCACTGCAATTATTATTTACGTACATGAAATTAAATAAAATTGAGGTAATAATTACCCTTTTTATATTTGTTCCATCCATTTAATTACTTGACTTGTATTATTGTGATTTAATGACTGTAAAATTGTTAATCTGTGTTAATGATCGATATTTTAATACTGAGGAATTTGTCTGAATTATTTTATTGATAAGGTTGATAGTAAAGGAATGTAATAGTTATGCGAATTTTCCATTCCATTTTTCCTTCTTTTGCTATACCTGAGTAACAGGCATTTATTATATAAAAAAATCGCGCGTACGATGTCACGAGCAGCACCTAGTGTTATAAATTAATTTTACTTATCTAATTAAGTTTGGTTATAAAGATAAATGACATCACAGATTAGTTTGGCTTATATCTCATTAATCCGTATTAAAACGCAGGCTCATGACATAGTTTCGCTTGAGTGCTTTGAGCTAAATTGAAATTTACGTTTGACAGAGACATAAACCATGTAACACGACTCTTATTAAGTTAGATATCATTGTTACTGACATATTTAAATGATTCAAATGATTAATCAAATTATACAATCTGTATTAATTACTGTTTATGTTGTATTACTAATATTATAAATGGATGGATGGATGGATGGATGTGAAAGTTCGTAGCCTAAACTGCTAAATGGACCTTGATTCATTTGGCATAGATTTAGAGCATAGTCTAGAAGAACGCATAGGCACGTACACGTCCTTTCTTTTGTTTTTTTTAATACCACGCAGACGTAATCAAGGACGATAGCTACTATCATAGAGAAAATAAATTGATTTTTATTACTTATAAATGGATTCTTTTAAAGGCAAAATTCTGTTTTTATTTAATAATATAAATATGTATAGCTTAGGTTAACATTTTCAAAGTCATGTAATAAAATTCTGAGAGATACGGCAGGTAATTTCGGTGGGAGAATTTACATGCTAATACGTCGGACCATATTCTGTCACATGAATGCATATTTATGAGTCAGGTCGTCTAAAATGTTTCTGAAATAACTTTGTATGTATTTAAATAAAAATAATATATTGTTCGGTACAGATGATACAGGTTTGCCAGATTCGTTGGCGAACATATAGTTTTAATTTTGCGGCCCGGGTTAATGCGGGTAACGCATTTTCATTCTCCAGCACTAGTAGGTAGATTCGAATCTTCTCCGGCGCGGGGCCTGCGGAGAGGTATGAAGAAGAAAGAGTTATGCGCAATCAGTCCAGCTAATGCTTGCTTGTCCGCAGCACATCTTTCAACCTTGTTTTGTTTTCTTAACTTCTTAAGGACTTGTTTTACGTCAGTTTAGTAATACATTCTTATGAATTAGTTATATTTTCACTAATTTCCACTTTCCCCTGTAAAATTCAGTCAAATTATTTCTTATAACAGAATACAAATATACAAAACCATTTGAATGAAATAGGCTTAGTGTCCACGTATGCTGAACGGTTTATGTGCCATAAAATAACTTGATTCGACACACAGATGACCTACACGTCTGTAAAATCCAAATTTACAGCGCACCAACTTTCAAGCTATGGAACCAGACCTTCATTTTAACTTTATTCCATTCTAAAGCTAAATATGTATACCAAATTCCAATACAGAGGTACCACATGTCTGAATATCGTATAAGAGACCCTTCGGACGTGCAAACGTGCTGGGATTTTATGTTCACTTTTTGCAAGGATAGGACGCCGTAGTGTTTTCACTGCTTTTCTCTATTGCCCGCAAACGTGGTAAGAATTTTAAACAGTAACAGATGCGCTTTATCTTTTAAATAATGTAAAGAATTTTATACTGACTTAAACGAGGTAAGAGGTAAGCTTACAATTCTATATTTCAATTGACATTTAAATATGTTATTAACTATATGTTACCCGCGACTTTTTCCGCTTGGTATTAGAAAACATACGAACTATATAAATGTCAAAAAGCTACGTATCCCTCGGGAACTGGACATTTCTCGGGGATAAACCTTATCGCATGTGTACTCCAGACTGTTTTTATATCTGTGCCAAATTTTAATAAGATATGTTGAACGGTTACAGAATGATCGAGTAAACATTAGAAAACTAAATTAATCAATCCCACGGGAACCGTAACTATTTCCGGGATAAAAAGTACTTCCAGACGATACTATAACCCTGTACCAAATTTCATGTAGATCCGTTCAGCCGTTTAGGCTACAAACGCTAACAAACATCCAACGTAACTTTCACATTTATAATGTTCATATAATTTATGTATGTTTTGTTATTAACTAATCCTCATTTATCAAATTTACTGTGACACTAATGTAATGTGTACATTTATTAATATAAATCAAATTAGATTGATTGGAAAGATACATTTATTAGTCGACAATTTCAACACATTTAATTTATCAGAGTATGAGATACATTGTTTATTTATTTATTATTAAAAAAACCTTGCATGACACACAACAATTGAGGTTACATTAGTTGATTAAATTGGAAAAGGGTTAGAAATATAAACAAAGCAATTACTTTTGTGACAGGTTCTTCATTATGTCAGACTTAGCCACGAAAAATCGCAACTTACTAGGTACCTTTTAGCTTCGCTAGGTGCTGATGCGTTGAAAATTTATTATAATTTTACATTAACATTAATCAAAGAATTTATCAAACTGTAAAACGATGACTAGATAAGTTGCACAAAGTCCGGAATAGCTAAGCGGCAGCGACATGTCCAGTCTGATCAGGCCCCACAGCACGTAACTGAAGTCGTTGTCTCTCGCAAGTTGGTAAAATGCTTTTATCTTGCGTCGTTCCAATTTATCTAAAACTTAAAATTGTAATTATATTTGTGTTCATAATATTTAACTAGCTGTTGCCCACGACATTTTCTACGGGAATGTTTAACCTAGTTTCTTTTCTTCCGTTAATTATCATACTAATACTAATATTATATAAATGCGAAAGTTTAGATTGATAGATGGATGGATGGATGTTTGTCAGAGTTTGTAGCCTAAACGGCTGAACGGATTTCGATGAAATTTGGTATAGATATAGAGGATAGTTTGGAAGAACACATACACTACCCACTTTTATTTTTTTGAATCCACGCGGACGTAGTCGCGGGCGAATGCTAGTTATGTCATAAATACTCCACGGAAACCTCACACTTTTTTTACAATAATAGTCACGGTTTACCTTCTTCTTTTCTTAGTATAGCATCATTTAATATTCTTCGTATTTCTGCAACTTGTTGAGCAGTCTTGCTTGAGATGTAACATGGTATAGCCATGAGGAATGTTGTCTTAACACATTGCAATATTGTGTATCCCCTTAATACGTGTTTGAACTAAAGTGTAAGAAATAAACTATAAAAATAGTATAAACATACTTTAGTAGATATACTTTGCTTTGATGTATTTGAATTTATTGTCTTCCCAGTTTGAACAGCGCCAGTTATAGAGAAATTGAAACGCAAAAGGTTATAAAGGTAAGGACTCATTATACGGAGAGATCACATAAACATGCAAGTACTAGGAATGAATGTAGATGACATAGATGACAAAGGTAGAGAAAGACCAAAGAAAGGATTTATAGTCGACATCTTTAGATTGAGTAGTAGACCAAAATATTCGTTATTTCGTACTTTTTAATTTAATTTGTATAATGTGTTAGGAAATATCTTACCATAGCATCGCCTTTTGAATTGCTAACAATTTCAAAATTATTAAATCCAAATTTAATCAACATTGTGTTAATTATTCCAGACGAGACGAGCATTACTATCATCTGCAATAAAAATAATACTATAATATATGATACTAGTTAAAATACATTGTCCGTTTCGCATTTTAAAATAATTTCTAAGTCCCAGATAAGAATACGCATATCCATTTTACATTCATACTTATGGAGCAATTCCACGGTGCTTGATTTCGGTTCCATCTGTAGAATCACGCACCGTGGAACCGCACTTTAATACCGTACAAGTTCATTTAACATCAGACACAAATGTGTAATGAAAAACATTTACAAGAATATTGCTATCTCTATATTTTCAAAGAGGAAAAGAGGGATGGAAATATATTTAAATACAAAATCAGACTTACAGGAAAACTCATGCTTGTATTTAAATCTTCTGAAGAACTGTGCAACAATTCATAAGCCAAATGCAAATTTTTTGCGTCTAAATTTATCTTCTCAGTTATATTCTTGATTTTGTTTCCTCGATTTATGCTTCTTTGTTGTATTTTAATGGCGAACTTTTTTGCAATTTGATTCTTAAGTATTCGAAGACGTATGAGTACAGTGTATAATAAAATGCAGAAAAACAACATTTCATATTTATGAATTAAAACTCCTAGATATATTACACTTGTTGCATAATACGAGCCAAGACTTGCGTTTTTAAGATTTACGAAAACGAATTCTGCGGTTACAGTGACAAATATAACTACTGTCCATACCAATGTAATCATCCGTGGTGATGTTTTATTTTTTAAATTTAACTTGATGTCGAATTCCTTCAATTTGTTAATGCAATTCTTTAAATGATTTCTTTGAAAATATGACCCATTTATACATAGAAATAAAAGTTCGACGAAAAAGGTATTTTTTGACACTAAATATGTTACACGAGATGCGTTTATGAACATCATATGATAAATTGTAAAAATTAAAATAACCGGAGTACAAAGTTGAGACAGCCAGTACTTAGTTTTACTACAATTGAGTAAATAAATTCTATTTATACCAAGAAACATTTGAACATTGATTAAATATTTGAAAGAAACAGCAAAATTGAATTTATTCATATAATTTTGGTTAATAGACTTTTTATACGGCGTAACTTTCATTGTCTTTATGTTTTCGTTGTTACACTTCTACGCAATAACTTCTCTGGTTAAGAAATGAATAAAATATAACCACAGATGATAAATTACTGAAAATAATCAAATTTAATAAATTATTCCGTAATTGAATTAGTCCTACTTTTACTAAAATCAAATATTCGTTTCATATATCGATATTAATCATACTATATCGATCAAGATAAGATCGAGGTATTTCTTAAAATTTCCACTGTTACAACGTACAATACTATATTCATTGCAATAACAGCTTTTTCTTTGTTTCGACTTAAACGATAGTTTTTTTAAGATTAAACTATAATCTATTTATAACCACCAATAACGCCATAATGGCGAATATCAAATAGGCACAAAATAGCATGATTTATAGCCTATCCTATAGATCACTTATTGTTCTCATGTTATCCCACTGACCACTGTAAATGGACAGGCTTTTAAATTGTTTAAACTATCGTGAGACATTACTTTAAGCGAAAATTAATTAAAAACGGCTCAACTCGCGCTTTTTTTTGGACAGGCTTTGTCTATGGTATTTTGTATATACTTGATTTTTGTCATTTTGGCGCCGATGTTTGTGATTGGTCGCGGTGACGAGTTTTCGAACTACTGATAGTGATAAACCTACGAGTAACTGTAATTAAAATGTAGAGTGTAAGTCATTTCCAAATCGCATATCTATTTATACACATCTATGTATAATTGTAAAAAGAAGTAAATGTTCTTTCAATTTTAAACTGTATGCTTGTATGTTTTTAATACGAAAGTAAAGTGTAGAAAAGAAAATGTTTTCGTAGATAAAACAGGAAACACGTACAAAGGGGTTTTAAAAAAGGCGGCTTAATATGATTTAATGCTTTAATCTTGAAGTAAATATAACTGAGCACCATAAGAACAATTTATAGCCCACCGCTTACTTGGCATTAAAATTACTCAACGTGAAAGAGCTGAAAGTATTATAATATAATGTTGAATACATGTACCTTATCTGTGTTTATTTTCGTAATAAAATACATTAGGTATTTGTTTTAAAAGCTTTAATTTACGAGTTTATACGTATCTTAACAAATACTTAACACCATATTTCCAAAAAATCATTAGTTAATTGTATAACAGCCATTAATTTTACAAAGATAAAAAATAAATGACTTAATATTTTAATTACTAATTTCTTAGTCTCTGAATTCTAATATTACTATTTAAATTCTAGCACATAAATGCACGCAGTGTTATTGCACAGTTGGGAAACATTTTCTTTGTGCAACATACTTGCGCGAAATACTTTACATTGTACTAACATCAAGTGCGCGTGCAATGTTGTCTGAATTTTTAATGTTACGTTTCTTATCAAGAAAATTATTCAAACTTCTATCGGCTTCAGAGTCAGATGGGTGATTAAATCAACGCTAAATACGTGACTTTTTAATAATTCTGATTGCGGCACTAATTGAGACAAAACATTCTTAAAAGCAGAAAGGTTTCTAACAAGAAAATATTCAAATATCTATACAAAAGGAGCCATGGCTAACGTTTTAAAAAAATATATGTTGGATAAGGAGGTAAAATATGTTTTCTTTTAATATGTTTCTTTTCAATTGAATTCGAATTTTATATTTTGACGTTGGTTTGAATAAGTTTAAAGTCAGAAAAAAAAAGAGGAACGACGATGTATAAAGATGTGTTTTGGAAAAAAGAGTAAACATTAAAAGTAGCAATAAATTACAAGTTTATTTTATTTGATCGAGCCACAACCCCACATATATTTATCGTATAAAGAAGGCAAAATGTTTGCAACAACATGGTCTGTGTAAAAAGAATTAAATGTAACAGACCATTTTTTATTAGATTTATTACATCAAGTGGAACTTTCGCATTCTGTGTATTGTAAACAGCGGGAGCATTTTTGGTTCGGTGTTGCTTTTATTTTGTTAACAATAAAATTTTTAAGAAATGTTATGTAACTACATAACATAACATACAAGAAATAACTATATTACTAATATTGTGAATGTGAATTTTTATATGGATAGCTGTTAGTAAGAGTTTGTAACGTAAACTGTTCAACGTATGTCGATCAAATTTGCCTTATAGCCTTTTTAAACAACACCATATTTTAATACTATTTTTTTTTTTTTTTTTGTGA